CCATTTATATATATATATATATATATATATATATATATATATATATATATATAGATAGATATAGGTATATACAGTATATATATTTAATATTTGATAATAAGTGTTCTATGGTTGTAGATTATAGTTTAAATGATATTGATGTTGTGGCTGCATAAAAATATCTGTTGTACTGTACATATTCGATTAAAAAACTGGTAAATCCTATCAGCATTTCTTCCATAACTCTTTTTTGGGCACTAAATAATAAATAAACTGTGCAACATAAGTAAATATTTGAACTTTAGTACAACCAGAAGGAAGAAATAGTCATATGACCCAGAGTTGGACAATTAATTATTCCTCAAATATTGTATCTCTATTGCACAATTCAAAATTTCCATTAAACGTCGTGTCTAGTTGCTCGTTCGAATATGCGCTGCTTTAGACCTATCTGTTATCTGTATCTGTAAATGTAAATTGTCGCCATTATTCTTTCATATTAAAAGTTCCATGAGAGTTCTTCCAGCAGAACATATTTATTAGAGCGCCTCTACTAAAGTGCAAGTATTTAAATAAGTACATTGTGTGAGGGTCGGACCGAATAAAATAAAATTAAATTAAGAAGCTCAAATTAAATTAAATATCTTTATTAAAGTTAAACAAAGAAAAACTTCATTTTTCTTAATTTTACGAAAAAGGATATACTCATTTCCTTCCCACGGAGCCGTTTCCTATCTCTCAGGAACCCGAAAAATGATTCATGAGGAACTTATCCTAAAAATCGGCGATTGGCGAAACCGAGTAACGTGACGAAGGGGATAAAAGAGGGGCGACGACGAGAAAGAGAGGTCCGTCGTCGCCGTTCATGAACACGGTCCGTCGTCGCCGTTCGGGATCGCCGAAACCCGTGCCGATCCTCATCGCCGCCGTCCGTTCCTCAAGACAACTTGTCCGATCCGGTTAGAAAACGTCCGACCGGCCGATCCCAAATCGTAGAAGTATGATACCCATTAATGTAAACTCTCTCTCGGCGCGTTTCCCTCCACTCCCGCGTGTCCGCTCGAGATAAGCTCAATGTATTTATGTTAGTTATGTTATCGTGTCAATAAATGTTGTTTTTGTCGATGAAAAAAGTCGTCTTTATTTCGAATATCGCTCATACTTTACCGACGACCCCTCTCACCTCCTCCACTCGATTCGACAATAGAATCCCGACTGTACGGAATAGAAACAACATGATCCAAGCCATCCACTGACCAGTGGACAGTTCTCACCCAATTGTTGCCTATCAAACCGAGGTACGACTTTGTCCTACCTCAGGCTACCCACACTTGCACTTTAGTAGAGGTGCTCTAATAGCTATACTAGCATACTAGCTACATGATCATCGATCAAAATACTTCTGCATAATGATTTTGATTTTGGTAAAAAAATTATTTTAAATAAGAAAAGTGTTGAGAATCTTTAGGCCATCATTATCCCGCTAACACTCCCAATCACCATCAGAATATCACAAAATTTTTAAATATTCGCTGTCCCTAGTCTCTCTCCACGTTATATTTCAATAACTCCTAAGCCAAGTTCTATTATTGATAAGTATTTCCACCAAAGTACAATAAAAAATTGTAAAGTCAAGAGTTAGATACAAAGATATGATAAAAATAAATTAAAATTGAAAAACATGCAAGTTTAAACTTTCAACTAAGCACAGCAAAAACCGCCAACCGAGACAATGAAACTATAACTGGCACACCAAATTTCAAATAATATCCTCTAAGTGCCCATAAGGCAGAAAGAGTAAAAAGAAACCAACTGTCAATGCTCCACAAGGACGAACATTATCGAGAATTACTCTCATTAATTTTATTTGTTATCATTTTTATTCAATTATATTATAAATTTAATAATATTGAATACAAACTAAATGAAATATAAACAATATTTGATGAATGACATATTATCATATGCTAAATTTAAGGTCATTTAAATGCACCGTTTTATATTATAAAAGGAAAATAATATAATAATATATAAAATAAAATAGTAATAATATAAAAAATAAACGAAAAAAAAACAATATATAAAATTGAATAAACTTACGTTAACAGATTGATGAAATTTTGCTAACAACTTCCCCCATTGATATAAAACCGAAGCAGTATATGGTACATTAGAGACAGTTGTACCCGGTAAATATGTCAACAAACGGATCACATGAACATTTTCTCTACCTATTGGAAACAATAATTTGATATAAAATTAGAATTGTTTTTAATACTACCGGATTTCTTAGTACGCTCGGGCCTAGAACGAAAGATTTTCAGGGATGCAAAATTGGGGACATGGCATTAGAATTTTACAGAAAAGTAAATACAGTAGAGCGTCGATTATCCGAATCAATTGGGGACTGGGGTTGTTCGGAAGATCGATGTTTCGGATAACCGATTATGTACGAAAAAGTATATTAATTTATCCCATCTTAACATTTCTCTGTTGCGTGTCGCTTCGCGTTAAATTTTCGTCGATGTTAAGCCTAACGAAGACTATTGTATCGTTAAAAATTATTTTTTTATTTTGTACGAACAAAATAAATATAATGAAAAATATAAAAACAATAAACAATTATACTTCAGAAGTTAATTTAGTATCAAAAACGTAAAATATTTGAGTAGCCGAAGACATAGCCAAAGATTGCAGCGCTACAGCACTGGCGAAAATTTAAATTTGCCGACTGGAATTCTTTCGGATGATTGACTTTCGGATAATCGACGTTCTACTGTATTTCTGATTAGTTATTAAGTCGTCGCATTAAATAAATAAAAATAACGATTTAAATATACCGAAGGAAATTATTACTTATTTAGATAAACGATTTGATAAAGTTCTTTCGACATTGAATGAGGTTGTTACCAGAATTGACTGACTGCGTAATTTGCATAATGAAACGACTAACTCATTTACAGCTGGAATCAGAATTTTCTAAATCCAAAGAAGATATTTAAAGTCAAAATAATCTGGTTTCGCATTCTATTGATGATACGTTGTCCAACGAGATGAGAAAGAATTTTGGTTAATGGTTTGTCTGACGATGACAACGATTCTAATGTGAAAGTATAAACATCTATTTCTCTAAATTGACTGACGGTTCAAAGACAATTCCAACGACATAGATTATAAAATAAAATAGTTCAAATACTATTTTCGTTGAATTCTTGTCAATAGAAGAAAAGAAATTAAGTTTTCGTAATATTAAAAAATAAATGGGGTGACTATCCGCTGTTTGGACGTGATAATTTTTTTTCTGTTTCTAGAATTACTGCAGAGATATTTGCATACGTTCTCAAAGTGATTAGTCTTTAGATGCATATCACGTGATAACTAGTGTATTAAATTTTCTAAACTACGTGAAAGTATTTTGGTGTTTCTACTATTTCTTTCGGAAAATTTTTGGATCTTATTGGTAACTTACATAATTTTGATTGACTTTCTGAATAAAGAAAATTAAAACTATTTTTTCAGTAATTGTATGTTGATTACTTTTTGCTTCAGTTGTCATTCAAATAGATTGGCGCATATTTTGATTTGTTTTGCATTTCGGATCATTTGATTTTGCACAGAGGAGGCGTTATTTTTTTCTTTAAAGATATGTACGAGCCTAAGAAATATTAGGAGACTGTCCGCTGTTTCGACGTGATAATTAATTTTTTTTCTGTTTTAGGTGGATGTAATTGTTTTTATATACAATTTGTTAATTAATTTGTGTAGATAGTTCTAATTTTGACTATGTTGATATTTGTTTAAAATATTATTACTTATTGTCGGTTTGTATAATTTGTGTATATTCTGTCTTTTCTGTAATTATTCATTAATTACAGTATTATTGTGGTTTTACAGATTTTGTAGTGATTATTTGTATGTTTGCATTCCCCGTATTATGGATGAAACCAATATGCTTAAACAAATAAATAAAAATTAAAAAATAAATGATGAAGCGTTGAGGAATATTCGAATTTTCGATAATTTATACTGGCGATCTAGATTGAGGCCGAATAAGTTATTGCCTTTCTTAACATGATTATAGGCTGAAAGGAAGGAGAGTTCGACTTATAGCAGATATTTTGGAGGCTGGATTGAAAAGTTATACATTCAAGAAATGTATAACTTTTCACGACTTATTTACACGACTTACTTAGAGCAGAACAGATAAAGCTTGATTTTTAGTTCAAAACGAAGCAACAAATCCTTCAAATCTTTTCACTCCTCGATTTGAGGAACAGAACAGCTAAATTGAAAATTCTCTCATGAAATTCTCGTAGTACGTTTTTAATTCATCCATACATTAGCAGTTTTCTTGAAAACATTTCCAGGGTAATATTTTTGAAATGAATGGGTTCTTGGTCTACATTTTCATTGTGTTCGAAGATTAATAATATCAATAAAAAACGAAGTTTTTTGAAGTAACGGTCACTAATACTTTAGGCTGAGGTAGGTCCTCAGAAGGAATACTATTCGGATAAATGAAGATTTTGGGCGGTGTGACCTTATTGGTGGCATAGCAGCATATAATAGCTGTTAGAGTAAAACTTAACCGAAGAGGAAATGAAGGGCTGCGAGATATGGTAGTTATATTGCTGTATCTTCACATACAGTAAGGTCTCGTTTTATGCGGATTTTTTTATGCGATTTTGAAGTTGTGCGGTTTGTATTTCATCCAAAATTTTTTTGGGCAAACATACATATAGGCCTGTTTAGGAAGCCCGCGTATAGACAGTCTCCAAAAACCGTGGGACGCTCAAAGCTCACTCCATTTGTTCCACTGACATATAACCTTTATGGATGTAAAGGACAGCTAGATCTACCTTAATCGCTTTAGTTCCTAGCAATTTTTGATATAAATGTAATTAAACATAAAAAATACTTAAAACTAAAAAAAACGAAAGAAATGCGCTTGCCCTTCTGTGAAATTTAACACCGATGAGTCAGTTTATACATCTGGATGACCTTGAACACAGCTGGAGTTGGATTTCCTGGGCATTCTCATAAACGTCGCGGGAGGACAAGGGTTTAAAGTAGGGTGAAGCTGGCCGTATATTTTTTAATACAGTAGATCCCCCTATAAAACCGTTTCCTATAGTTATGATTCCTATAAAAATTGTGGCAGTATCCGTAAACAACGGTAAAAATAACTCCTATAATACGTAAAACGTCATCTAGCAGCCGAACTACTTTCCCGCCGTCCGTAGCGCCACGCTACGGACGTTTAGGCGGATAAATTGAGTTTAGTATCGTCTGTTCATATAATTATATATAAATCAGGTACTGTACATATAATTATATATTAATTATATATAAATTAGGTACTGTATATATAATTATATATTAACTTAATTTATTGTAACTTTATTATAATTAAATATATATTTTTCGCCGTCTAGCGTCACGCTACGGCGAGTTAGGCGACCTATCGTCTGTCCAGTACTGTAATTTTATACATTTCTTGTGAAAGAAACATTTCTTATTTAACGGCCATAAAAATTATTTATATTAAGGATGTCTCCAAAGGTCAACGAAGTTTTCGCAGAAAAATAATATCAGAAATCGCGGCCGCAGTTTGATACGCTGTTCCGCGACGAAACCAAGCTTCAGCAACGGGCGTAGTCGAACAGTACACACTCGGTAAGCAATCCTACAATTTTTTGTTTATAACGTAGTTTATACGGATTATTTTCAAAAAAATATACGTATTTTGGAAATGTTGAGTCGAATTAGTCTAGAATCGATTAATTTTATGAAAGAAAACCTTTCAAACAGCCGTAGTCCGTAAACTATGATTCCTACAAAATTGATTCATAAAGAACGGAACGTATCTACCGACTTATAGGGGGATCTAATGTATTTTTAAAAAATTTGGAGACTTAAAAAACATTCCAAAAATTTAAAAAAAATGTAAAACTATATTACTTTTCAATAAAATAAACTGAATTAAATTTGAATACAAGTTTATTTTAAGCTTTTATATGAATTTTTTCAGACATTCGAAGTAATTCATTATGCAGCCTATTTCTTTTAATATCTGGAAACTTTTTTTATGCGGTTTTAAGTTAATTTTAACTCGTTGTTTTGGTTTTATGCGATTTTAGAAAATTACGGAACGTATCCCTACTTTTTCAAGGCAAGTAAAGTCTTTTTTTATGCGGTTTTCTGTAGAACGTATCCACCGCATAAAACGAGACCTTACTGTACTTGCTTTTGATAGATTAATTACATAGTTGAAAGACAATTACTGATTATTCGTCAGATTATGAACTTTTGCTGATCGGAGATTTTAATGCACGAATTGGCTTCATTATGGCCTATTGTTAATAGATATGCCAGGAAGAAGAAATCTAATAATAAAATTTCTCTGTGACTGGAAACAATGTTTAGAATGTAGATTTTGCCATCTGAGTCCTGATCCAATTTTGGATTTGGCCACGGTAATTTCTCTCCAATTTTGGATGAGCCGTTTGAATTCAAAACTTCAATTCGTAAACTTCAATTCGTAAAAGAGGATCAGACCTGGAATGGACGATATAAAAGCTGAGTTTATTATTTTTTTACCTGGTGAAATGTGTTTGGAATAACTGAAAATCTTCAATAAGATTAAAGAAACAGCAAATTTCCCTGATCAGTGGAAGAATGTTCTATTATAAATAGTTTATAAGAAAAGGAGTTAAGCTACATCCCCGTAATTTTCGCCCAATTGCGTTATTAAATATATTTAGGAAGTTATTTACTGGAATCCTGATGGATCGGTTGATTCATTGGATAATCGAATTTAATGTAATTTTAATATCAGGAAGCTTTTCTCAAAGATAGAGAAACAATGTATAATGTTTTTGAATTTAATGGCTTAATACAGTATGTTTCGTGATGAAAGAGACGTAAAATTTATTCAATTTTTATGGACATAGTGAATGCGTTTGATAGAATAAGTTTAAATATTTTATGGGAAAATCTACACACCTTTGGTGTTTCAAGTTTATTACTCTGATTAAAAACATATTTTTTAATACAAGATATTATGTAAGGGAAAATTTTGTAAATTCTAAAGGGGTCATTTCTGAAAGAGGTTTGTCTCAGGATAACCATTGAGTCTCCTGTTGATTATACTATTTATTAATGATACAGATAGACCTTTCACAAATGTTTACTTGCTCAGGACTCTCTAGATTCGCTTTTGCAGCTGATT